TGTAAACACAAGGGAACAAATATAACGTTTACCCTCGTCGACAGTAGCGTTCTTATTTAGGTCCAGGAACTAGACTGGTTTTATTTCATCAATTATGCGAGTGTAGAATTTATTAACATAAATACGAGGTTTAGACTCGTTTTTTATCGTCGAACTTTAGGTAAATTGTTATTGGTGTTACATTAAGGTTATAATTTCACTTGCCAAAGAGAGGTTGGAGACGGGCATGTCTGAGACTGTGTTTGGTGTTCTCTGGAACAGTGGTACTTTGGGTCGAAGGCTCGTCAAACGGTCTGTCTGAACAACACGATTTCGGCTACGGTCAAACAAACCCCTTTGTTGGCATCGCCCTTGCCCGGTATCCAACCTTGACCCGTCTCGGTATACCAGGGTCCGAAAGTTAGAAAGAGTGTTTGTACTGTCTGGGTCCGGTTCTGCAGGGGCCGGGTTGTCTTAGACGAGGAGAAACGAAGAAGTGTTCGCGTAGGTTCACAACGTCTTTGTTGGGAAAAGCCTCCTTTGCTTCGACATCTTTTGAGGTTTCGAATTACTGGCATTCCGTCGTCTTCTTTCGACCACCAAAACATGTCAGGGAGGACGGGTACACAGTTTGAGTTCCGGGCCCCGGTTAGGCCGGGCAACCACCCTAAGTAAAGCCGAGTCGGTCGTATTAAAGATTAATGATAATCTAGACCGGGCGGCCAATAACGTGCGTGGGTTGGAAGGTGGACGGTAGGACTCCCAGAGGGGCGAGTCTCGGACTTCGGGTTTGTAACCTATTGGAACGTTGGGTTCTACTCTAACGGGTTCATAGAACTTGAATCGTGGTTGTCTCGTCGTTGTTGACCTCAAATTACCTAACCAAAGGAAGACGGAGAAAAAAGGAGAGTGCTGTTGTCCCCGTACCAAACCAAACAAAGGAAACTCCCTTTATCAAAACAACTTCGACAACTAAGGCGGACACCCCTTTACACTTAGGTCGAACGTCTATCTCGGTATTCTTACTACGTTTGACTAATTAAAATAAAATTACAACAAAAATCCCGTTATTAACTTTCGAAACAATTGCAAGGTCCAAATTCATACACGTTATTCAAGTAAAGTTATTAAGACTATTGTACTTGGTCAGGCCGGAGCTGCAGCATGGGTAAAAACATTAAACTGGGTGACACACCGAACTCAAACTGGGGGGACGAGATACGTGATTTGTATTAAGAAGGTGGGACCCCCTATATACAACTTAACGTAAAGTACTTCATGGTAACTATAAACGCCATATATATATATATGATTATTTCATTTTCACGTCAAGTTTTTGACAAGTGTAGTCAAACATAAAAGAATTGACCAATATTAAAACTAGGTTCTGCAACGGCAAAATCACTTTTTCAAGGAAAAATTGTTTCCAAGGAAATCTAAATGTAAATTATTCTAATTTATTTCGAAATAATTAAGGTTTTGTCTGCAAAAAAAGTCTAATTTATATCGTTTTCAACATTGTAATTCAATGTGTTTAAGGTGGTCTATACTTCATTTATAAACAATTTGATTTTTTATATCAATGTAAAGTTAAATTTACTTAAACATTATCACATATATATCATCATGACCTAATTTACCCTGACCATGAAATAGTAACATAATAATAATAATAATAATTAATAGGATATTTGGGTTTTGGCAGCGGCCCGTCGTGTAGGACGAAGGGAACGAAGAAGTGTTTCACACGTCTTTTGGTTGAGAAACCTCCTTATTCGACATTCTTTGGTTTCGGAATTTCCCACCCATCCCATTTGCTTACCTCTTTTTGTCGACTCACGCGATCTTACAACTTTTATGTTTGGCCGTCCTTGTTTAAGACAGGAGAAGGAAGTATGGAAAGGAGTGTTTCTCGAGAGGTTGTGTGTGGCTTGCGCGTGTTTCACTGTTACTCCGTGCTCTAGTCAAACACGGGTCTACCTTCCGACTGTCCGTCCATCCGGTAGGGTCAATGAAGACGGCCCGGGCCGAATTTCTACTAACCAGCTCGGAAAAAATGTCGCGGTGCCGAAAGGTTGTCTAACTATATTAAAATACATAAATTAACACTTTGTGAAGTATATAGAGTAACGATACCCTACAATTCTCGTAAGGTACCTTATATTGTTCACCAAGACTTCACCTTAATGTATGGGGCGGACATTACTGGGCATTTCGGTCCGTCGTCTCTTCGACCACAAGGACCGTCCCAAGAAAAGGTAGGAGATACTGATTTTATATATGAAGTGGACCCCCCACCCCCCCCTATGTACAACTTAACGTTAAATTCTTTATGTAACTAGAGACGTCCATTTCTCGTTAGAGGACCTTTCACGCAAAGGTGAAATACTTGCCTACCGAGAGTCTAGTCGGTAGACAAAAGAGGCGACTGGTTGAAGTTTATATTGGGATGACTCTAAGGTGGTCCTCCATACGGACGGATAATCGGAAATAATAAATTAGTGAATATTCTGCTCATCTTCAGGTTCATATTGGTGTGTTTAGCCTCTGGGACATGTCTCCATGCTTTAGTGTTCAAAAAGCTCTTTATTGTTCTCATACTGCCTGTGCTGCAGCACCTCTTTTCACCCTCTGTCTGAAACCAGAGCCCTGTCTGCTCTGATTGGTTAGCTGGCCGGCTCTGTTGTGATTGGTCAACCGCTTAGAGATGTCCCGCCCCTTTAGCCTATCACGTGCAATGTGTTGGAGCGCTAGCCAATAGAAACACACGTGTTCCGGAAGTAAACAAAGGAGTCCAATGGAGGCGTTTCAGGCAGGGGAAGTGTGTGAGAGGAGGGAACACACATTTTAAACATTTTAAGCCTTTGTGGACCATTTACATGCACTAAAAACCTATAACGCACTACAAGAAAGGGAAAACCCCAAAACGCACAATATGGCCTCTTTAAAGCATGTTAAGATGGCTAAGTAGAGGCACACAATACAAGTATGAACCTGAAAATGACCCTTACATGTCCTCTTTAAATGGTTTTGAACATATTGACTTCAGCGATTGTTGTATGAAATATGAGTTTTATTCTCTAACAGACTTTTTCCTAGTAGTCATTTTTAGTTGGAGACATCCAGCCCAATTAAGATTTATGCGATAGTATCTTCCAGCTGCGGGAAACAAAATGTCCTGATATCCAGGAGAGTCTCAGCTGCAACACAGTGAGCTCGTTGTCCTCCATTATTCAGAGTCTCTGGATCAGCATCTCCATTGGTCTCCAGAGGACCCGCAGGCAGAGCCTCTGCTCCCAGGATGGAAAACAAGTCAGTTCTGTCACTGAAACACAATCATTTAGATCCTGTCAGGGAGACATTTCACACACACATATATCAGTATATATATATACTGATATATGTGTACAGTATAGCATTTTGAATACATTGAGAAATAGAAGTACACTTCTTTGGACCCACACTTTTTTGCATATAGATCCAATTATAATAATATTAAAATTACAATAATAACACCAGAAAAAAGGCAATAATTTGGATCGAATATAAAGTTAAAATATGAATGAGTAAACAGTTTTGAACATGAACTTTCAATACATGTAAATACATTTATGTATTACATGTATATTCTAAATATATTTGATCTATTGCTATTATTATATTTATTTGTACGGCCTTATGTTATCCTTTATGGAAATCTAGCGGTCTATGCTGAATTTCCTTTTAAGGGATTAATAAAGTTGTATCGTATATTCATCTGAATATACACACATACAGTAAACCATTATAATATTTGAGTCCATACTGTAAACTCTTTCCTTTTAAACCCTTCTCTTGGCAGCCTACAAATGCTTTTACATACAAGGCTGAATCATTTCACTGCCACACATCCACATTCCACTATCAGTTAAAGCTGTTTTCTATCAAATGCAACCCTGAAATTGAGTATGCATGAGCACTGCACGGACTGCCAGGCACTTGGCAGAAAATCCTTTTCGTATTCTTAAGGGATGCTATTCTCCGAGTGTCCCATTGCTCTGTGCACAAATACCCCCCCCCCCTCACTTCCACCCTTTGGCTTTCTGCTGCTGGATGCAATGCCCAGGGTGAAGCTGTTTCAGTGTGTTGTTCACGTGTTGGCCAGTAGGGGGCACTGTGACTTTGTGTGATCTGTTGATTTCCGCCTGCAGTGAGAGTGGAGTGGCCTCAGCTAAATTATATCTGTCTTCTTTCAGGAGCCTTCAAGGCTGGGAAAAAATCACTGTGTTTGCTGATGATAATGCAATTAATTAAAGAGCCAATCATTTTAGCCCAGCACGTCTAAATTTGATTTGAACTTGTGACACTTTGCTGTGTGTCGTCGTGTTGTGTCTCTGCTCATCATCAACAAACCTATTTAGTTTTAGTTTCTTCGGTGACTGACCCACCGAATGCAAATCATGCTTTTTTTGTTATTATCCATTTTGATATGTACCGTGCTGCATAACAAGAAAGAAGGAGAACAAACAAAGGAACGAACAAAACCCTCCCGTTGTTGTTTCTCTGCGTGCTACTTTTAAATTCCGTTTCTCTTCCTCTTCGAGTGCATTGCTGAGGCTTAATGTATGTCTGTGTGTTTACTGTAGCCAGGGGCAGCTCTATAGAGGAGACCCCGCTCCCCTGCCAGATAAAGACCTCTGCTGCCATTAGATTTGCGGTGAGGTTGCACACAAAAAGCAAATAGATGAGGAGGACAAAGATAGGCAAAGAGGAAACATGTGGAGATGAAGGCAGGCAGGGACTCTAACCAGCGAGTATCGGAGGGGATGAATGAAGAGAGTTTGGTCCCAGATCTCCTGTAAGGCTTTAGCTTCTGTGCTCCATGTTTACAAGATGAATAGCATGACAAGGCTTTGGTAAAAGGGAGGCGGTGCAAAGCATGTGTGTATATAACAGCGTGAGTGTCCAAGTGATGGGGGCACTGGCGTGAGATCCAGTCAGTGTGAATTATCGCATGGCTTTCTGCATCTCAGAAGAGACGGAGGAAAGGAAGAGTGAGGGATAATAAGACAGTCGGAAAGAGAGGGAGAAAGGAGAAGTAATACAAATCGTACAGCAGGAAATGCTGCTGGCGGTTTCCTTTTTCTCTTGCTTCCAGCCAGGGGAAAAATCATGTAAGGTACTTTAGCACAGACTAAAATATGAACTTGGTGTGTGCCTGATTTTTCTTTCGTTCGGTCCACAGGGATCTCACTCACTCTCCACTGAAGCAAAGTGCAGGCAGTTTGTAAACCATACACAGTGAAGTATCCAGAAGGACCGAGTTTCAGTGTAAAACTGTTTCTCTGACTGACTGATTATCCACAAACTAAAAATACACACTTTGGCTCACTGTATTCACGCTGAGAAATTACCATTTGCTCTAAAAACAACATTGTGGGGGGGGAGGGGGGGTGTGTAACAGCAGCTGTAGGCATTTAAGTGGAAGTATTGTATTTGTATTTTTGTTTGCGTCCGACTTTGCAACACCAGCTTCTTCTGATGTGGCTGCGATTCGTCAATCAGGGATCATGGGGCTTGTTGCCCTGGCAACTCCAACGTCGGCTCATTTGTACCAAGTCTGTGAGAGGCCTCTTTTTTTCTGAGAGGCACTTTCCATCAGCTTTGAATATTGACAGCTAGAACAAAAATAGTATTTGAGAGCGAATGTGCCTGTTGCAAAACATTTTTTTTAATAATGTGTTGTAGCAAACAACAGGCTGGTGACACAAGGTCAACTAAACATGGGAGCATAAATCCAGAGATTTTTTAAATAGGTTTTTGATGTTCAACAAAAAAATTAAATCAGTTTCTCATTTCAAGCTGCAGCTCATTTCTTAGCTAAAATATGTTCATAAATGTTCCCTTTGTGAGAAGAATGGCTTTATTATCAGACACAGGCTAATGCTAGCTAGCTACCTAATAAAGCTAATGTTAGCACATTGCTAGATGAGTTGTTTGAAATAATTTCTAGCTATCAGCCATCACTTTAGCCCATTCAAAAATGGCAACTGTTGCCAGCAGCTTTTATCAGACACAGGCTAACGCTAGCTAGCTAGCTACCTAATAAAGTTAATGTTAGCACAATGCTAGATACGTTGTTCGGAATAATTTCACTTTAGCCCATTAAAATGGCTAATGTTACTACTAGCTAGATAGCTACTTAATAAAGCTAATGTAAGCACAATGTTTGAGTTGGTGCAATACCAACTGTCGCTAGCAGATTAATCAGATGCCGGCTAATGCTAGCTAGCTTTCTAATACAGCTAATGTTAGCACAATGTAAGATCAGTGAGAGGAAAAGCCAGTTGACACTCTTATGTTTCAAGATATGTTACTTTAAAAAATAAAATGCATTTCACACAAGACAAAGGCAAGCTGCATTCCCAAAGTTAGTTATATTTAAAAAATAAGGCTATTGTTTTGTTCCAAAAGTGGTTTAGCTTAGGATGAGGATATGTTTGGTGAACAAGACATCTTCACATCTCATATACCAACCCAGTCTCACGGCATTTCGTGTTTTTTTATAGTCAATAAAAAGGTAATTTATTGATTCGTGTTCACCAACACGATTATCCCATTTTTTTCGTGTCACACAGAACGATTTTAAAAGCAATGTAAATCATATCAAATTAGAAGGAAACAAATATTTTTCAAAATACAGATTTCAGTNTCTCCAGAGCTACTGGAATCGCGTCGGGCCGAACCATGCCCCTTAGATGTGATATAATGAGCATATACCACGGCCTGTCGTGAGCTATTGCTTAAGTATAATATTATACTTAAGCAATAGCTCACGACAGGCCGTGGTATATGCTCATTATATCACATCTAAGGGGCATGGTTCGGCCCGACGCGATTCCAGTAGCTCTGGAGAATTCCAAAATGTTTTCGGATTTCATATCGAAATGTCCCATATAGGCCTACTTCTGTTTCCGGTTATTTTATTTTGAAATTCAGTTCCTGACGGACGCCAAAAAAGCCAGAGATTATAAAATTAAACAAATAAATAAAAACAAGGATAATTGTGTGTTATTGAGTAAATAACAGTGTGTTATTCAATCAATAGATAACATGTTGTGACTATAACACAAAGTGCCGTGAGACTGGGTTGATTTAAACTACTTTTAAAACATTGTGAATTTTTGCTTTTATGTGTGATTTCTGTTTGGATCGAAAAGTTAGATAACGTTATGTTAATTGAGTTTTAGAGGTGTAGGTTGGATGATTTGTTTACTGTTGTATATAGCTAGGCTAGTTGTTTCCCCCCTGTTTACAGTCAGTGTAGCTAGCTGGCTGCTAGCTGTGGCTTCATGTACTGAACATATTTTAAGTGCAGTCTTTTCTTCTAACTCTGGGCGAGAAGGGAAACGTGAATCTCCCAAATTGTGCAACTATCTTTTAAACCAAATAGGTTTTGTTGCCTATACCTAACCTCATGTGAGACTCGCAATGATGCAAACCCTGGTTTCTAACGGAAAGAAGCTGTATCTTTACTTGACTTCTAGGAGACAGGGTTGCATATGTAATGTCAAGTTATTCATTTGATCTCTTTCAGTCTTCAGATTGTTTTGAAGTGTTCTCACAACTGTACTTGTTTTACCCTTTCCTTTTATAATGTCCCCCTCTCACTCTATGCCTTTGCTTTTATTGAATAATTTGTTCACACAATTCTCTGATCTGTTCAGCTCCAAAGGATCCTGTTGACACATGAATTATGGATTTGGACAATGTTCAACATTGTTTCGAAGCCCTCTTTACATTGTGTTGCCATGTATTTATTGGTATGAAGTGCAAATCAGAATAAAACACGACAGGGACCCTGATCTTTTGTGGCAAAGTTTGATGCAATGTTTGCTTACAGCTGATCTGCGCAGCTTCTGTGTAGTTTGGATTTAAACACACTGTTCCCCTACAGAGTTTTGTATAATAATGCATATGCAAACGTGACTCAACGTGTGTCTACCAGGGAGATGCATTGGATCTTTATGGGGTGAACACATTAGAACTGCTTTCGTATTGTCTTGTGGTTTTTTGAGCAAACATAGTTTAGAGCTGTGTTGAGCCCCACGGAGTAAAACCAGACTTGGCTGCATATTCATGGACTGTGGAAGTATACATTTGTGACTCTTTTATTCAGTCTAATTACAACTGATTCTGGAACCAGCTTGTGGTGTGTGTGTGTGTGTGTGTGTGTGTGTGTGTGTGTGTGTGTGTGTGTGTGTGTGTGTGTGCAACCCAGTCTCATGGCATTTCGTGTTCACCAACACGATTTTCTCCTTTTTTTCGTGTTGCACAGCACGATTTTAAAAGCAATGTATTTCTACTGGTAATGTGTTTCGTGCCTGCAGCACGTCTTTTTCTCGGGTCGGGTCGTGGAAGACCGGAAGCTGTGTGGTTAATAAAAACATGTTCTTACTCAATATCAAGCCACAATTATTGCTTTTATTTTAAATCGTATAATTTCGGACTTTTGTTGCCGTCTGTGAGGAAAATAAATGGGGCTCAGAGCCTCAGAATACTGAAATCTGTATTTTTTCCTTCTAATTTGTTATTCTTTGCAAAATAACACACTGTTATTTACTCACCAATAACACACAATTATCCTTGCTTTTATTTATTGGTTTAATTCCATAATCTCTGGCTTTTTTGGTGTCCGTCAGGAACTGAATTTCAAAATAAAAATAACCGGAAACAGACGTAGGCCTCTAGGAGTTTAGGATGGCCGAAGACGTGACAAATGTGGCCAAATGTGGCCTGTCTGCGACAACGTTTCTGAAGGCCGCCTTTACTTTCACGGTAAACACGAATCCCAATAACCGGCGATGGGGGGGGGGGGGGGGGGGACCAAACGCGCGCATTTGAACAGATATCAGGATTTGCTATCGACCCCTAATTACCGCGAAT